ACAGCTGTTAAGAAAATACTCACTGAGGGAGTGCAAAAGGGAAGTGAAGCAATGCTGACCTTCATTCAAGCAACCCGCACTGCAGTTACTCCATTAACTCTTTCGGTGGTCAAACTATGCATATGAACCATTTATGTGGGGAAATTATTAAGATGGCTCTTTGCCATACTGGAGAGACTAAAGAAGAAATGTTGCAAGGCCAGAGTGGCACAATTAAGAAAACAGGACTTAAATCCACCCTTTGTGAGAATGAAGCAAGCGGTCCAAGTTTATTGTTAGCCATGGAAACTAATCAACTGCAGATGTAGTTGTGTGTGGACCCAATCACTTGAACTGATGCAGATTTATTTTCTCTGATGGAAAGGCCAAGAAAGAAGATTTTAAGCAGATGCTAGGGGAGGAGCATTCTTCCCCAAGGTTAAAAACTACAGATTGAAACAGAGAGCCTGATGGAGCAATTTAACCCTTCTAACTTAAATTTACAGAATAACACATTCAGGAGTGAGGGAGGTCTCTGTTGAGAGTGAACGACCCAAAGGAGTCCCACTAGTAGCCACTAGAATCCATCCTTCCTTCCTTCCTGCTCTAAGCAGCACTAGGCAGCAAATAGTGCCCATTTTAAATTTCCCTGACATACTGTTACTGCAGAACTCTGTAAAAGGGTAAAATGGCAATCAGGCCCAGCTACTTCCAGTATTGCTTACCACTCTGTCTAGGACCTGCTCAAACTGAAAGCTACTCCTGCATCCATCTTTGGTAACATCTGTCTCTGTAAGTATTCTGGGCAAGCCACCTATAAAGCATGCTTTCTTGGAGTTCATTTCCATACTGAGTGTTCACATTCAGAGGAATTTCCACACTAGAGGTATAGTTGCCTGGGTCACAAGTTAATGTGTTCCTGCTAAGCAAATCCACACTGTTAAGACATTTATATATGATTCAAGTTCATCATGAATGCTTACTTGCACAAGAATTTTATCAGTGTTAAAGTAACAATGCTAGGAATGAATTGTTATAGCTTAAAAGGCTATGCTAAACCCAAAATTTAGGGCTGGCTCAGAAAATGAGAAACTGAAATGATCAAGAACGTTAGTATTTAAACAGCTATTCTTACCCATTCTTGGAAAGATATATTGAGCCCAATTAACACATATTACATATGTACAAATTACTGGTTATCCCTATCAGAATGAGCAACTGAGGCGTGTAAAAATTAAAAATAGTTTTGCTCACAGTGACTATGTGGATATAGAACAAGAATGCAAACATGTCTCTTGGTGCTTTCTGCTTTAATTGTAAGGCAATGTTCTATAACCAAGAGTCAAATTATGGTAATTACAACTATGATGATTGCATTGCCTAGCCCACTTTTCTACAATTTGATGCCCTCCAAATAGTGTGGAATAGCAACTCCCAGAATTTCAACTGTGCATCAAGTTTGGGAAGGATGGCCTAGCCTTTGAACATCAAAGTATCTTTCCATGATAAGCCAGAGCTTCAGAATGGCCTTTTCCCCATAACCAGTTGTGAGTGAGATCAACCAATGTATCAAGAATAGCTACACATTTTAAATATCTGTTGGTGCTAAAGTAAGAAAAAGTAAGAGCTAAAGTAAATAGAGAATGAAAACACTAGAATCAATACAAAATGGGACTTCATTTTACTACCAGATTATACTGTCATTGTGAGAATGGGAATAGAGAAACTATATCTCATGCTGGATCACTGACATGTAGCTTTTTTCCAGCCCTCATACTGAAAGGAATATGCAGCGCTATATAATTACAAATTAACCACAACATTGCTTCAATTTAAACTCCTAGACAGGAAGGAAAGTGGGCATTACTTAAACACTGCTTTTTTCACAGTATTTGAGTACGTTTTAACGTGTTCCATGCCCACAAGAGCCAAAAATATTCCTTTGCTTCAGGCCCTGGGGAGTAATCTAAGTGAAAAGAGCTGTTACTAAAAACTCTAGTGAGGTCATCTGTTTGGCAAAGCTAATGGCAACAAATTAAACTGCTGTTTTAAGAACTTGGCTCAGCATTGGCCTCCGAGATGCCAAGAACGTCCCTTAACTCTTTGTCATCTGCTCCAGAACCAGCCACAAGTCATTTCCTAAGCTGGATATACTGATGGTGTGCTTATCCAGGAATTTGCAATGCACAATTAACTATTTAGTTGTTTCCTGAAAGAGCAGTTTGTACAATAAGGAACATAGCTGTTTCGTGAAACTACATGCAAGGAATAAGTATATTTCTGATCCTCCCTGATTAGGAATATTATTTGAATCTACTGATGTACTTGAATTCACACATCACACTAAGTCAAAATGCAGTTTGATTCTGGATTAGTGTGTTGTACGACTTAGCTATCTCTGGCTTATTCAACAAACCATAATTAAACAAACCACAGTTTTGCAAGATATGTAAACTAACTCTGTGAGTACTAATTAGAATTATGACCATAATGCATAAAGAGTTATATTGGCCAGATAGCATGATTGACTGAAAACTAAAGAGAACTCATCTTAAAGGGGAAACTTAGATAAATAAGCATCATCAAGAGATTGTCAAAGTAATGATAGCTGACCACCAGCTTCATCTGCACTCTTACTAGCAAGTTTATTACCACATCATCTAAAACTTTGTCACTTAATGGGCAACTGAGATCAAAGCACACCTCAATAAACTCGATTTCAGCTAGCAATGTCTTGGTGAGCACTTCAACTCTTTAGGTTACAACTGTAGAGGCTGGGCTTCCCACACTGGTGAAATCTGCTTAGACTTTTCAGTGCCAGTGACTTATTCTCAACGTGAGTTTGAAATACTGCCTAGCCTTTTGGGACATCTAAGGCACAGAAACATGTGATTTGGATGAGGCCCTTGAATGTTATAACGTCTGTATGGATATTCAGAACCACATGGGAGTACCTCCACAGGCATAACGGCCATAAAAGATAAGATACGTCTAGTTTAAGAGTACTGTACCATTTTATGTGTACTTACTGCAATTAATCCCACTCCCCCCACCTCATTTCATTTAGTAAGGCTTCCTCCTGAATAAAAGTATATATGCAGGCTACATGTGCTCTTTCCCCAGTCTTCCTATAAATGTATAGAAAGGGACAAGGCACATTTGTGAAGGAGATTTGATGAACTGTCCCACATGTGCTTATATATTCATTGCTGTTTTCCTCTTTGACCATTTCCAGTATGGTGTAAAGGATCCAGGAACAAGACGTTTTGGGGAAAAAACATACAAAAATGAGCCAAGAAATAAATATCTCTTAATTTTAAGCTGTGAAATTATAATCTTTTAGAGATACGTGGTATAGTCTAATGAAAGGTGATGGGGAATTTATGGAATTGCCAAATGGTTACTATTTTAAAAGCCTCTAAGATGAAAAAATAAACCTTCAAAAAGTTGCTACAGTTTCAGTAAATCACAGACAATACAGGCTACCATGGGACTTCCAAGGAAAAAATGGCAGACTGAAAATGGCTCCGCAAAAAGCAGAGCCGATGACCGCAGTGGAATGCAGAGCCAGGGAGCAGACCAGCTCTTTGATAATTCCTCTCCGGACAAGGAATGGACTTGAGATCATCCACAAGTGTTCCAGACAATTACTCCTCAGTGGGGGCGAGAGGAGGGAGATAAAATCTAGTATACTCTATGAAATATAAAAAGTATGTTAGCAAAACAAATTTAAATTTATATTCCAGGACAATCTGATGGAAGTTGGAATGACTATTGCATGGCTGGTTATTCCTTTGAACTGGCTTGCAGAAGGTATCAAAAAGACAGAAAAATGTCACTGGCAAAGTGAGGACAAAACTAACACAACTTACCATTATAGCACTTCAGATACTGCATAATAGACCCTTCCTCTCCTGCCTGGTTAACATCAGACACTTTGTTCCACATTAGGGAAAATCATGGTGTTACTTCTTCCTACACAAATGTTACACAGGTAACATTCCAAGAACAGTAACTTATGCCACTGGACTTCATGACCTAGAGCTTAGAAACAAGGAAAGAAACTGTACAACAACACTCCTATATGAAAAAAAAAACAGTAGCAGAAACCAAACTAATGAATGTTCCAAGGGAAAGTAATTACAGGTACTATATCAGTAATAGACGTATGGCAAACAAGTCTATGACCAGGAACAGGCATACAAATCTAAAACAGACAAATGGAGAAAATATACTAAAGGTTTTGATATTTGATAACTAGACAAATAACGCTCAAATTAACATTAAACTAAAATACGTGTAATGCACTTTATTTTACAGACAAGCTTACTATTTTCAATCCCAGCGTATTCAAAAATATGTGAGTGAACATGGTGTGTCCATTTAGATGTTGGACAGGATGAGGAAGATCCAAGTGCAAGTCCACCCTCAGCCATGGAAGCTCAATGGGTGACTTTAAGCAGATGGTCTCATCTCTCAGCCCAACCTACCCCGCAAATTTCTTATATTAGGAATAAAAGTAAGTGGGGGATGGAACATTCCTCCAAATAAAACACCTTGAGCTCCTGGAAAAAAAGTAAGACACAGAAAGATGGATATAAACCATGGACCTCTCTGCGTAAATAACATTTCAGATGCTCTTCTGGCACTTGAGATTCCAAGCAGAATCTCCACAAAGCACCAGTCATGGTTTTTTTTTTTTCCTTTAAATTTGGAGTGTTTGCAGCGCATTTCTAATAGAGACCTCTTCTATTTTTTAATAAAAAACTCCCACAGTATGCCATATGCATGAATGCACCCACGCATAATATTTCAACAAGTCTGCTACAAGTTCTAAAAGCTTATCAGTTTCAAAATGAGAATATCTATTTCTACTTCCATTTCATTTCATATTTGTTCAATTTGAAAAGTTATTGTTAAATAAACACTATTTCCTCCTCTGGACATCAGGACAGTAAAGCCAAGCAACACAACTGGCTATTTTTAATAAGAAAGGAAAGTTTAATCTTAACCAAAATATATTTACAAACATCATTAGCTATACAATTTATTCTAATAAAATAAGATATGTTTCACTTTAAAACCATTCATACAAAATGCCTTCATCAGCTCTGGAGAGAATCAGTTAGATTTACTTTGAGCAATTTTTTGTTGATTCTCAAGACACTCCTTCAGCTTGTCCTCCGTTAACGTTAATCTTTGTTCTAGAATGGAAACAGTCTGCAAAATGAGAAAGGTAATGATAGAAAAATGCTATAGGATTAGCATAAGACAACAATTCTATGTAACTACTTAGAACAAAACTGAATTCAGTGAGACTTACATCTGAGTAAATAAGTATAAGATTAGGCTACGCTGCACATCTTATTTAAGGATATATGTGCTGGTTTTTTTCTAAGAAAGGAATGCAACAGAATGAAATAATACAAGCAATAAATTCACACAAATATCTGGCAAAAATCACACTTAAGCATTGGCAAAAACACAGCGTTAAAGAAAAAAACATGTTTCACCACACTGCATATCTGATTTAATGGTAAATTAATAATCAAAGTAGAAAAGTATAAAATTTATGAAAGAATTCACAACTTATCTTATCCTTTGGGAAAAGCTAACACGAAAAGAAAATACAGTCTAAGGCTCATCAAGCAAAAAGGATGGAGAATTGCCATCCTTTTTCCAACTCTGCTTCTCCTATTAATTGATCCAACTGCCTCAGGAAGAACAAACTTGCTCTTTTATATATTTGCTTCACCACTCCAGCATAAATGTTGTCTCCAGTATCCAAAACATTAAAGAATATTGGACCCTACCCCAATCTAAAAGACATCTCTCATGAAAAAAGAGAGGTGATGCTCTGCCAAACATGGCGGGAGACCTTTCCAGAAACTTAGTGGACTTGCCTTGCAATTCAGGAGCTTCCTTAAAGCAGGAGAAGAATAGGGACTGGTGGAAATATTATTCTCAATTATACTTTACTCATCTCCACAGGTATGAATGATAGCAACTGACTTACACTGAAGAAAGTAGTAACACACATTCAAGGTCATCATGGTGGTAGCAATAATTTGTATGTCAGCAATGCAGTTTCTGACATGAGAAAAGTTCTTGTTTGCTCTCAGAAAAAAATGGGACCAGAAAGAAAGAACTCAATTCCATTTTAAAGCTATAGCCAAGATTCTGTTTTTCTGATCACAGAGAATTATGAGATGACAGGAACTAGCTTTTTTTTTTTTTTTGGTGCCTTTGAGTTAGTTTTTGACTCCTGGTGACTGCCTGGACTAGTCCCTGCAGTTTTCTTGGCAATGTTTTAAGAAGTGGTTTGCCTTTGCCTGCTTTCTAGGGCTGAGAGACAGCGACTGGCCCAAGGTCTCCCAGCCGGCTTTGTGACTAAGACAGGTCTAGAACTCAGGGTCTCCCAATTTCTAGCCAGGTGCCTTAGCCACTACACCAAACTGGCTCTCTTTGCAAGAGTCTAGCACAGTGATGGCAAACCTTTTGGGCTCGGCATGTCAAAAATTTGGAAAATGCCTAACTTGACTCTGCTGGAGTGTCACACACACCCCTGAACAAAAGAGAAACAATTCTTTACATATTCATTTATTTAAAAAAAAAAAAAAGTCTAATCATGTGTGGTGCTACGTATTACACAAAGAAACAAGTAAAACAAACTCAGTTTCTTTGGTAACTCAAACAGGGAGAATAGTTGTTGTTAAGTGCTGGTGAACACTGGTGTGTCACCCAAAATGTTGTGGTGTGACACTTTTGACACGCACGTCATAGGTTTGCCATCACTGGTCTAGTACATAATGAAGCCAGGCTCAGATACAGTACCAGGAAAACTAAAAACTATCACTTCTCCACAGATAACGAATTATTGCACTCTAACAACTTACAGCATTTGCTAGAATATCTAAGTACCATAGGACCAAAATAATAATGGGAACAGGCTTCCTATCACTTCAGTGTTGACTAGCTGATGCTATGAAGGTGCTGTAAATCCTTAGTGGAAAAACGGCCCATGCATAGCTTGGGAACATACCATGCAGCAAGGTTTACTGAATGATACAGACTTCTAAACGTTTAATATTAGGAATCATGCAATCTGGTGGCAATGGTTTCCTTAGCTTCCTTAATCTCGTTTAAGCCTTATGACTGATAAAAACCACATATTTAAAGTGATCGTGACCGTACAGTTCAGATAGGTTAGAAAGTAGAGTGAACATAAGCAGACTCTCCTTCGGTGTAATGTGGCATATGTTTCGGTCCCTCAGCTGTTCATTCTACGGTACTAACCAAAGAAGTGCTTATGGTACAATGTAGTTCTTGCTTGAAACTTCTTCAGGTTCAGTAGAGCAACAAAGCTCTACTCCTGGGATCTGTCACCACGGAGGAACAACATCTAAAAAACCCTTACTCAACCCAAAATATCTTGAAGACTGAGGCTGAGTAAGGGTTTTTTAGATGTTGTTGAGGCCATCATTCAGTAATGAAGCAAAGTTTTCAATTCAAAACACATTTTATAGCTACGAAGCTATAATAAAGTAATGTACTTTTGCATATGTGAATAAAAGGACTATATAAAAAGATCAAAATATCATTTCTCCATTACACTTAGTATTTTTACAACTTGTTTTCAAGTGTGGCATTACGTATGTTCAGTAATACTCAAAAGTCTCCTGGACCACACCCAATCATGTCCAAAGCAAGCAGATAATCAATCACCCTTAATGCCACTGCCATGGCTGAGGTAAAGGTTGAGCTAGGATTTCTGGTCTTAATGCACGTTTAACTCCTGTGAGTTCCCAATAGAGACCCATTTCTCCCTTTTTACGCTAGAGCACCTTGATCCGAGCCATCCCCGAATAACCTATGGCCATATGCCCCATGCCAGTCTTACTAAATTCCCAAAGCAAATTCTTCTATGAAACTTTCTCTGAACTCATCTTCAGGTTGACATTTCTAAGCATAAGAATCATTCTAAGCATAAGAATGCAATCTTGGCTGTATTCTTCCAACATGCTCCTTCACTGAGGCTTTTAAGACTTAGGCCTGACCTCATTCTTGAGATTGGGAAGCCACTGTCTTTTTGCAAGAGCCCTTTTCCCTTTAGCTGAAATTCTGTGGTGGAAGATATCATACCATTCCAACCTCATTATTTCTACTAATTGTCATCTGGCAGATGGAAGTCACTTAATAGAATAAAAACAAATTCTGCTGTCCTTCAATGTATACAGCTTTCTATCTTAACAATATTGCTTTTGGGGGGTGCAGTACCACCCATCCAAACGAGACAATCCAGAGTATTTTAGCAAATCTAAATTAAATTAAAAACATTTACCTCCCATCCTTCTGCCTCCATATCAGGCATTCAAGACAGCTTACAACAGAATAAAAGTAGATGTATGTATGCCCAAAAGAATTCCCCCACTTCCTTAACATCACACTAAAGTAGTTGTAGTGGATTAAATAAGGACATGTCTCAGAACCTAATACTGTATATTCAGCTGTTTTAGCAACTTCTAATAATTAGTTATTGTTCTAAATGCTACTTTGCTAAAGACCTATTCTTTAAACACCCTAAAGAACTGCGTTTCATTTGTGGATTTTTTTGGAGGAGAAGTCCCAAAATCCTCTCACCACACCTCAAAATTGTAGGTTTTCCCACTTATCTAGGCAGGAAGCTTAATAAATAGTTTGTTTAAACCTTTAAAAAACTTAAAATGTCTGAGAATCCACAAACCTACATTTAAAAACTACAACAACATGTCATCTTGGCTCTGGCCACTGACACGATGTGGCTCTATCTACTGTATGTCACCCCTCTACTCAGTGGGGTCCTTGAGGCTAGGAAACAAACAGAAGTATGGCCTCTGCCCAGCCAAACAGTGTATATACTCCTGACCTCATTCATTTTAGCTCATGAATGCATATTACATTTATTGTAGGAGATGTTCTTTAAATAAGCCATTCATTATACTGGAGAAGGCTGGAAGGACTCTAACAAAGGAGGTCTCTTAGCGATTGTCAACGACTGAGGCAGCACACAGCACTGTATTTACCTGAAAAGAAGGTGAGCCTAAATTTAAGATATTCCCCAAAAGAAGAGTAGAGAGCGGGGAAAAAAAAGATAAATACAAAATTCCTGTACAATGCTGAGCTTCTCCACCTTTTCAACCTAAGACTGCCAATACCCACTAATACCAGTTCTAGATATTCCACTTGCCTTTAAAAGTGTATATGTGAACACTTTCATATGTGTACGCATATATGTATGTCTGTATTTAAACACGGCAGAAGACATACTCTAAAAAAGAGCAGACCAAGGCAAAAGTAGATTAATTGAATTAATAACTATCACACCTGCATATATAAATTATTCTCTTTCACATGTAAATATACAAGGACATACTCTGAGAAGTGACTGGAGAAGCTCTGAGCATTTAGACAGGTTACCAGTCTGAATGAGCTCTATGCCAACAAAGAAAACGGCAAAGAAATGGGAAGCCTGCTCATCTCTTCCTTTATACATGTGCAAAAACATTTCCAATCATACAGTGCAACTTTAAAAAAAAAGTCACCTTACAACTCCAAACAGGGTCACATTGTATGTAAATCCACCACCCCTACAGTGTCCGTATAGGGAAAATACCGAAGGCTGTCATTTGGGAGCCACTGTGGCACGTTGGTTAAGGTGTTTGAATAAGAAAGGGGAGAATCCAAGTCCAACCCATAGATGCTCACAGAGCAGCTTTGGACCAGTCACTATCTCTAAGCCAAGACTATCTCACCTATTGTGGGGAAAATTAGAGAAAAGAATGACATACATGCCTCCTTCAGAAATGATGAAATACACATGAAAGTTAAAATGTCAAGCACATTGCCATCAGCACATAGGGCAGGAACTTGCTAGCCATGTATTATGTACACAAGCGAATTCCTCAACATTAGCAACTTACAGGCAAAGAAATGAAATATGATATGAATCAGAAAATTCTGCTTTACCTTCCATTACTAAAAGCAAGGCAAGTATAAAAGCACTTTCTGTTTAAGACTTCACCTTAAGACGGAGTAATCCAGAAGCTTCTTCATCATATTCTCAACCCTGATTCTTCTTTATCAGCACAATTCCATTGTTATAAAACTATTTATAATACTATAAAACTTCATCAAAATGCCTCAAAGCCTTTTCTACCTGAGTGAGAACATCCAACTGTCCCACAATGTGCTGCAGAGTACTGGTAAGCCCAATCTCATCCATTTGTTCTTGCTGCCTTTGGATTGATTCTACAGTTGAAGCAGTTCCAGCTTCTTGAATTTTTTGTTTAACTGGAAAGTCTCCAGAATCCATCTCCAGTTGGTGGAGGATGAAGAGACACAATGAAGATAATGAAACAAGAGACATGTTACTCTTATGAAATATGCACTTAAAGTTGGCACACAGAGAAGCATAGGACAGACATTAAGAGAAAAACAGGTGCCTAAACCAAAGAGTTGTGCCAATATAGCCTTCAACCCCCAAGGTTGGGGAATGGCCATCTGAATGAGGAAGCTGTTTTTTACTAAAGATCCTCTCTTTCAGGAAGCAGCTAAGTTGCTGCTTCTTGTTGCTGGAGGAAGAGGGTGGCTGCTGCTACTTGCAACCAACCCATGTTTGGGACCTCCAGGAATTGGAACAGCAAAAGAGAAACCTGAAGCGAAGTCAATGGGGAAGCCAGCAGGAAGTTGCAAGTCCTAGGTGGCTTATAAGGAGGCCAGCTGGCAGGCAGGTAGGTGACTACCATGGCACGAGCACGGCGTGGATGCTCTGGAGGGTGTGCAAGTGGTTGCTGCAACCCAGCACGAATGCAGCTGGGCGGGATGGGTGCTACAGAGTGTGGGAGGGCATGTGGGAAAGTGGCGGGAGCGAAAGTAACTTACTGGGGCAGGTTGCAACCTTTCTGCTGGCTTCCCCATTGAATTTGCTTGTAGGAAGCTGGCAGGGAAGGTCACAAATCACAATCACATGACCACAGGATGCTACAACTGTTGTGTGAGCCAGTTGCCAAGCACCTGGGTCGTGATCACGTGACTGCGGGGGTGCTGGGACAGCCAGAACTTCAAGGACTGGTCATAAGTACCGTTCATTCAGCATTGTCATAACTTTGGTCACTGAATGAGTAGTCGTTAACTGAGAATAACCTGTATACAAATATGATAAATACATCTGTCAGCTTGGGGGTGAGCTTTCATCCATATTCGGATGATACCCAGCTATGTATCTCCATCCTTGGTGGGACAGGAGATTGAGTGGATGGAGGAGATTCCACATAGGTTTATTTCTCATTTTGTGCATATCCCCAGAGGGAAAATAATAAAAGAGGAGGTGGGGGCGGCGGCGGCGATTATAAACCATATTAAGTTAAATTAAATTTAGTTTTGTCCTGGCCCTGACCACTTTTGGGAGTCAAAGAGTATATGTGGCTCTCATCTCACAAAAGAAGTTCCTTTTCCTATTAAAAATTGTACTGTAAATATTTTTACAATTTTTATAAAGTATTTTGTAAATATATTATAAAGAAACTATCTAAGACTCTTGATAACTATAGTTACTGAAATTCTAATACCCATCAATCTGCAGACAAACTCAGCTCTTCAAGCATTCAGATGTCCTTTAGCCATGTGATTCTTTTCAGAGTGTACCAATTATGATTTCCTCTAAATTGTTAAGAGAGCCCTATGACAAAGGGCGTTTGTGAAATGTTTGTGGCTTGTCTCTGTTATGAACAGAAACTTATTTTAATCTAAGAAACATTCAGTTTGGCTTACCTTTTCTTGTCTATAAATTCCAGGTTTTTGTTGCTCATTACTGCCAGTGTCCATTGGTTTCTACAATCAAACATTTGATAAGGATCTGTGTTATTCTACATTACTTGCAATTTCACCATAAGCATCCAGATATTCAGTCTGCTATCCCCAAATCTCAAGTCCTATACCACTCCTTAATTTAACAAATGTAAGAATCAACTAAAGAATATCATCTGGGGGGACCACCTTTTCTGTTGTCATTCCTGCCCTGTGGAACATCATACTCCACGAGGTCAGACTGGCTCTGACCCTACTGGTCTTTTCCAAGGCCTTGAAGATATTACTGTGCTCCCAGGCATAGGGGTCAAAGCGTCAGTTAGAACCCGTGAAATGGATGTGTTGATGGTTGTCTGGCTGCCAGCTATTTATTTTGTCTTCTTGCTGATTTTGTTATTAGCCACCCAGAGTCACTTTGATGAGATGGGCAGCCATATAAGTCCTGGCTGGCCTTTTTCTCTATTCACAGTGCAGCCTTCATGATAAGCTATTGTTTGGTTGTTTTAATGCAAGAGTCCTGGTTTCAGTAATCCATGCTGGACTCCCATCGTCTCCTCTGGTTTTCTTCAAACCAAAGCCTCTCCAAATTTATACTTCAAATTCAATCATTTCAATCAAGGAAGTTGATGCCTTCAGACCCTCAGTCAAGGAAGTGTTCACACTTGCATAATGACAAAGTGGCTGCTTGGCCATAAAATTATTCTCCAGATGCACTTTTTGAGCTTCACAGTCAATACCAAAAGGTCTAAGTAGGGACTATTTGAAAGGGAAACTATATAATTATACTGAAGAGATGACATTTATTTTAATTCACTGTTCCAGTGCAAAATTTATTCAGCACAATGGAACAGAAGTATTTAATACTAATAGGTAATGGATTTAAAGAACAGAAGAATATTAAATGGAAAGATAGACAAGAGAGTGTTAGTTCAGTTATCGGCAACAAAGAATCCACATTAACTAATTGTCTATAATCTCCACTAAAATATTGTAAATGAAACAACAGGAAGGAGAAAAAAGTAGCCTTTATTTGAAAATTCTATTATATGTCCATCACGGATTATTTTTGTTGACTAAGTTGGCCAAACTAGACAAAACAATCCATCTACAAATAATCTTAAAGACATCAATGCATTGAAGACTGAAGAAGAGATGTTCTTCACAGAAGCTTAAATTCGACAATAATCTTGAAGACAGTTACTAGGCATTTTATCCAACGTTTCTGAAATTAAAGTATTTCACATATTTTCTTCACTATAATCTTTACAAGTAAATGCTGATTGCCATTAAATCAATTCATTGTAGTATCAAGATCTGACAAAAGGATTCCTAGTTCACAGTTTACATTTCTTTTCCAGTAACTTAGACCAGTTTTCTTAAGCTATTACTGAATAACTTGCTGGTCATCTAGCTTTTTCTTAAACTGTTCGAAACAGCCACAACGGTCTTTTTTATTAAGCTCTGGACAGTTGTCTTTTTTAGGCAACTTAGAAACGTAAGGAAGAACATCCTAGCCTCCCTAGGAGAAAATTATATTTCTAGCATTCTAAAAATGTGCCAGGGCCAGGACTGGCTTAAGAGAATCAGACAGGATATAATATTTATGGAGATTGTATACAATTAAAATTATGTCTCTTGTCTAATGTACCAGATATCCTGGTTGGGAAAAATCAAGAGAAATTAACATTAGAATTTCACTTAAGTCAAATTAGTGTTCACAGCTTATGTCCAATTAGGATGTAATAAAAATCTCTATTTTCTGCCTTTACGCTGGCTATTGTAGTTTGAGTAAAATATATTTTCACTTTAGCTGCATAAAGTGTAAGAGTGACATCCAGTGGAAGCACTATTTTGCTAAAATAAAGCAAATACTATGCAGAAAATTAGACAAAGTAAAACTGAAGCATGAGACTTACACAAAACCATTTGATTCAAAAGTAAAGAATGGGTCTATTACAGGAATACACAATTGGAAAATAATTTAGTGAGACAAATTTTCCACAATCCTCTAATTCAGGAACACACAACTGAAGGGACTTAGATGACATTGGCTCCCAAATGTCTTGACAGTTGCCACAGTCCCTCCAAATGCTGTCCTCTAATTATAATTTTTATGTGACAGAATGGGGAAATTATTAAATACATTGGAAGGATTATTAATTGTACTTTATTTAATGACATTTCAATTTACATTAAATTAATCATATTTAGCTTTTGCCCATCTACTTCTTGGCACTGCATTGTTTACATTTTAGAGGATGGCACATAGCATGCAACTTCATCCAATCGTACAGCAGCAACCTGTACCATCCTCAAACCCACCCATGGAACACAGATTTTCAGGTGTCATATTCAAGAAGCAAGAATCAGTCAAATCAGAACCAAGTGGAATTTTTGTCTAATAGATATCCTGAAACAAAAGCATTTAGCTTAGCATTTCTTTTGACTGAAAAAGGAAGGTAACAGACTTCTAAACACTGCCATTATATTTCATCAAATCCAAAGCTTTCACTTAAAATGAAGTAAAATTGATAAGGTATATTTAATATGAAGACCACTTCAACAGTTTAATTAAACTGCCGTGACTTTTTCTGAGACACATTTTTATCTTAATTGAATAAATTAAACAAACTACTGCCAAGAAGGCAGTGTTGATTAAAAATACAATACAGATACAAAGTCTTAACTCATCTGCTCTGTGTCCTACCAAAGTTCATAAACTGCACCCAAAAAAGATGACAGAACCAGAAAACAACAAATCATATATTCCAAAGTATGTGGACTGAATTATAATTGCTGATTACTAACTTTACTAAGTCATTTTTGCACTTAATTTGTCAAAGAATTTTCAGAGTATTTAAATAAACAGGAAATGTAAATAAGCAAAAGAGGATTTTTTTTTTACCAAACAGTGAAACGCCACCTGTTCCCCATACTGATGGTTTACAGGATGCTTCCACAATTCTCAATTTCTCTGTGAAAATAAGCTATAGGCTACAACCCTGTTCACACTAAATCGACTCAATGAAATTTTCTTGTGAGTAGACATGTATACTGATCTACTTTTCAAGAAAAAAGGCATCATTTCAAAAAGAGACAAATCATTCTGCATGCTACTAGCTTTGTAATTTTAGCTACTCCTAGCAGGAATTCCAATTTTCAAAAAAAAAAAAAAAATCCATTGTATTCCCCCACAAATACAACCAAAAGTTGTTGAGGAAAAAACAACTTCTGCCAAAATTAGAGAATAATGAAGTCAGAACTGAAAGCATATCTGGCACATGAATAGCTGGTGAAAAATGTGCTTACTTAAAGAATAACTATAAAAATAACAAAATGTTACAATCAAAAATGGGAATCATCCATGAGATTACTAACAAAGTGCAGGGGATGGACAGGCTTACATAACAAATAGAAGATTAAAAAAAGCATTTCTGAACTTGAGTACTAAATCTTGTTCAGTTTCTGAGGCTCATTTGTACATTATGGTATTACTGCAAATGTTTTAAAAAGTTGAAAGATAAAAATTCTGATATTCTTAATACAAGTTTATATATCACCAAATCATGTCACAGGGAGTAAGACAGTGCTATCACAAGAATCACAATAAAGCTATCATAATACAGTCGTATGAAAAAGAAAGTACACCCTCTTTGAGTTCTATGGTTTTACGTATCAGGACCTATAAAAATCAACTGGTCCTTAGCAGTTCTCAAAAGTAGGTAAATACAACCTCAGATGAACAACAACACATGACATATTACACCATGTCATC